TTTTTTTTTTTTTTATTATAATAAATTAATATAAGTTAAATTATTAAATTAAATAAAAAACTAATATAATTTAAATTTAAACTATTAGATTAAAATTCGAGCTATACCAATTTTTGAAAAAACACATTCAGACATGATTGCTATATTTGCTTTTGATAATTCCTCTAGTCATGCAAAACTGGCTGATGATACTCTTAATGCAGCAAATATGAATCTTAATCCTAGTGGTAAGTAACTAATTATGCATAATACAATATTTAATGATCAAGTTTAATCTATAGTATTTCCTTTTGATTATCCTGATAAAACACTTCGTGAAAACCTAAAGAAATGAAAGTAGTTTTACAGGAACGTAGTTTATAGGATTTTGGATTAAAAGCTTTTGTGGTAAAAATAATACATCATTAGAAAATTTAAGATGTTATACATGTCATATTTTAGCTACTCAAGAGGATTTCTGTAATCAAAAACCATTATTACAAGAAATTATTGAAGAATTAGGACATAAAGTAATTTTTTATTCAAAATTTTATTGTGAACTCAATTGTATTAAGGAACTGCAAAATGATATACTCGACAACATTGTAATTATACATAGAAAGGATTACAAGAAACTGTTCCAAAAGCATTAGATTCAGTTTCTTTAAGTCATATACGTAAATATGCTCAAAAATTAACAAAATTTATAGAAAGTTATAGAAAAAGATTAATAGGTTTACAAGCTGTATATGTTTAAAAAAATATAAATCACATAAAACTGTTCTGGATTTTGTTTTTGAAAATATTGATGAATTAATAAAATAAAGTTTTTTATCAGATTTTAAACTTTATTAATTATATTATCATATGATTGAAATTTTAGCCAAGCATAAACCAGTATTATGTTTATCACGTGACTATACAAATTTTTGAAATTTGAAACATATAATAAATAACTTGATGGCTTTTTATGAAACACACTATAGTATCACAATTAATTGTAATATGTAATAAATAAGCATCATAATATTATAATTAATTATTAGTTTAGAATATAAGCAGAGAATTATTAAATACTATGTAACTTAATAAATTTATCAGTTAGTCTGTTCATTTATTATTTGAGTTAATACAATTTTATTTATTATATTTGTCTGTTATGCACGTAATTGTATACCTTTTTGCTAATTTATTAAATTATTTGTATTATAACTTACTCTAAATTTTCTAATAGTTTTTGTTATCTAATAATATTAAAATCAAGTTGCAATAGATGACAAATAGCATTATGATATTGCAATATTATCTTTAGTTAGATTAAAATATTTTAAGAATATTACATTTATTTAAAACAGATTTGTTGTATTTGCTAAATCTGCTAAAATTAGTAATTAAAAATTAGTGGTTATGGTTAATGATTATTCTGTTGCTTTGGCTGTAACTAAAATGGCTAATTGGCTAAATTGACCAAATATTATATGACTTTAATTAATTGTAAATTGATACCTCTGACTTTAAGATGTTTAAATTCTTGTAAAAATGATGCTTCAGATGTTTAGAATGTTTAATTAACTGCAAAATTGCAAATAAAATTTATTCTTTTATTAAGATTTAATTATATTAATTAAAAAATGAATAATAAATTTAAATTATTTTATATTATAATTCTAAGCAACTTAAATTAGATTAATAGAATATAAAATTTATAATATAATCTAATTCAAAAAAATTTTAGCTTATTAAAATTATTATATAAAAATAAATTTAAAATTAATATTAATTTTATTAAAATAAATTAATATAAATAATATAAATAACTAATTTCTTTAAAAGTATTAATCAGATATTAAATTTTTATTATTTTCAAATTTTAAAGATTAAATAAATATAAATTAATGATTCTACCATTTGTGATTAATAAGTCATAAGTTTTTTAAAATAAAAAAATTAAAATTAATGTAAAAATATTATTTTAGGTCGGCCAAAACTTAAAATAAAATTCGGCCAAACGGCCAAATGCCAACAAATGCGCTAAGGTAAGCAATATTGTTGAATGGTAAGGTCTATATATATATATCTGGAAATCAATGTTGTGCATTATTACGTTTCTCTTCAAAAGTTTTATTTGAAACATGATATTGAGAACCACAAGTATTATCATTTTTATAAATCGAGAATTTCAACTGATCTATTATTAGGCCAAGGATCAGTTTGCTTAAAATTGATTGTTTTCAACATTTTTTATATCGTGGTCTTTCTCAAAATCATAAAAATTTTGTAATGCGTTTTTGAAAGCTGTTAACAATTCAGTTGACTTCAAAAATATATATATATTTATATATATATTTAATAAAAGAAATAGTTTAGAAAACTTTTCATTTCACGAATAGAAACCTTTTTGAATTCATTTTTTTTTATTAAGCCCCGAATATTGAATTATTCATCGTTAATTTTTTTTTGAATATTATATATATGCAAGTTGTACAATATAAAGTTGTGTACACAAATAATCTGATATAAAAAGTTTAATTTAAATCTTAAATTAATATTAAAAACGATCCCAAAAATAAGGACTCGGTCCTAAAGTCAAGGTCTCAAACTTTACCTCACCCTATGAACAAAAGCGTAAAATTGGACTACGACGCTTCTGTTCATTTTTTTCTTATCTACAAATTTATGACCGAACATCCATCACGACCAATTATATTTACTATATAAATTTGACAGCCAATAACATAATGTGCTCAATCGTTAAACATCTATTTTAGAAATGATTATTTATTCTCTTATTCTCTCAATTTAGCATTTTTTTTGAAAAGATTGTTGAAACTATTTTTGAAACTAAGAATTTTTTTTTTTTTGTCGATTTCTTTTTTCTAAAAATAAAACGTGCTCTATTTCAGTTTTCCTTTCAAAGTTAAGCTTGAAAAAGCGGCGTAATTAAAGATCTTCGAAAAAATTAAAGAATAATTTTTGTACTTATAAATAGACAATGAGTACTTTTAAATTAAATACCGAATAAAAAGAAAGTCACCCTAAAAAAAATAATAATTTGTGGTCCGAGTGTCATTTGAACTACAAATATTCTAAATAATTGGAAAAAAAAAAAAAAAAAACCAAAAAAAAACTACAAATTTATTTTACAATTGTGTTACAGTGGAAATTCCTTGGGAATCACCCAAGCTTTTCCTTATTGAAAATTAAGTGAGCTTTTATGAATTTCTGTATTTGGAAAAATATACTTAATTTGACATATATTTCCTGTTTGTTAATAAATTATTTCTCCTTTCAAGTTTCGTTAAGCCACGTTTTCCTAATTGACGAAAAATAGGACATGTTTGTGATACAACCCGCCAATAATATAATATTCTTAATTAATAATTACCTCCTCTTAATCTTTTTTTTTTCTCTCACTTTTCCATTTCTTGATAATTTATTTCGCTCTTTTGTAAAATAATACAAAAAAAAAAAAAAAAAAAAAAAAAATTCTATTTAATATTTTTACCATGTCAAGCGCTTCAAAAACTAAAGACGTCATTCAACGTAAATTAGTTATTGTAGGAGACGGTGCTTGTGGCAAAACTTCTCTATTGTCCGTTTTCAAATTAGGTCATTTCCCAAGGGTATACTATGCTTATTTAGATTCTTTCTTGGTTTGGCGTTATAATTTAACTAATTTACTAACATTGTTTTGTTTAAAAAATTGTCCGGATCTAGGAATATGTAAGTACTAGATCTAAGCCCACCTTCTATTCACCACATAGTCAAACGTACAAGACACTAAGACGAAAACAACTTCTGGTGTACCCCTTTTGCCACACGATTTCTAAAAAAAAAAATACGATTTCGTTCTTTCCCATTTCTACTTTTTAAAAAATAGGTCCCAACGGTATTTGAAAATCTTGTGACAGATATTAAAATCGATGGAAAACCTGTACAGTTGGCGTTATGGGATACTGCGTAAGTCCAAATATTAATTTTCAATCGGTCTATTACGTTTATTATTTCTCCTAATTTTTATATTGAAATATTTAATAGTGGGCAAGAAGAATATGAAGTTAGTAATAACCTTATGACTTTTTGTGAATAAATCAATTTTAATGTAATTTCGATTAATCAAGTAGTTTAGCATATCTAATTTTTTTTTTTGTTTGTTTGTTTATGTTTAGCGTCTTAGACCTCTTTCTTATTCTAAAGCTCATGTCATTTTGATAGCCTTTGCGGTAGACATACCCGATTCTTTTGAGAACGTAGCTGCGAAGGTGGTGATAATATTTTATATTCCTAAAAATAAAAAATTCATGTATAACTTAACTATTTGTTCTTTATAATATTTCCAAATCTAGTGGATTGACGAGGTCCAATCTCTTTGCCCAAATGTTCCTGTCATCTTAGTAGGTTTAAAGAAAGATTTAAGAGATGACGCAACCGCTATTACAGAAATGCGAAAGAAGAGGATTTCCTTCGTCGATCCTAAACAGGTTAGAGATAGGACGGTCTAGGTTTTAGCTTTTAGAAATTTAATATTCCATTTATAAATATAAAATTTGTATTATTAAATTTACTTAAGGGAGAAGATTTGGCACAACAAATAGGTGCTCGTAGATATTTAGAATGTTCAGCATTAACTGGTGAAAATGTCGATAATGTTTTTGAAGCTGCCTCAAGGGCCGCACTTTTGTCATATGAAAAAAATCCAGGCTGTTGTATCGTACTGTAATATACAAATATATATATATATATATATATATTATGATTTAATTTTGTTGATTTTTTTTTTTTTTTTGTCGCTATTTTTCATTAATTTCTTTTTCTGGATGAGCATTATTAGAAAAGAGCGAGGAAGGAAAAAAAAAATCATTTATTTATAGAGAGAGTTTAGAAATCGGACATTTTTACAACTATTAACTATCTAACCTCTTATTACCTCCTTTTTTTTTTTTTGATTATTATTGCCGAAATTTAATTCATTAGTTCACCTACATATACAAAACAAAAAACAGGTTCTTTTATATTCTTTTATATATATATCACATATATGTATACATGTCATGTAGTATTATTATATTAATTATAGTTTGAAATTTACTTAAAGACAATATAGTATATAAAAAGTAAAAATCTGTAATTTATACTTACAAAAAAAAAAAAAAAAAAAATCTATTTAGTTTTATTTTATAATTTTACTTGACACATTTAAACTTAGTATTTAAAAAGATTTATTATTATTATACAAAATAAAAAAAAATAAAATAAAATAAAATAAAAATCCGAAAAAAAAAACCTCGATTCTACCTTTTTAATTCAATTACAAAATAAAATAAAAATACATAGCCAATGAATTTTCTTGTTACCTTTAAATATAAAAATAAAATAATTATTTCTTTCTCTCATTTTGATGATGCTAAACTAGCAGCGTAAGCCAAGATCCATTTTATGTTAGTTAAAGTATATCTAAGTGCTTTTGTCCATGTTTCTTCGCCTTTAAATTGATATCTTATAGATACATCACCAATTTTATCCTTGTTAATACTATACATAACATAAATATATGAGAAATTTAATCAAAAAAAAAAAAAAAGCGAATAGGACAAACAATGATTGTGATCCATAAAGTAAACACTTTACCGATATGGTAATTTTAATTTACGATTTTGCTGTTCAGCATAATCTCCCAACTGTTGCAAACAGTTTAAGTAGGCTACCATCGCATTATTAAAACGATTATTCAAGAATGGAGTTTTTAATGAAAAATCACCAGACCCATAACTGCAAATTAAAGATCTTATTTTAATTTATAAACAAAATAAAAAATAAAATAAAACCTGGAACCCTTACAGTTCATAACTTGTATCATCATCAATCTTTTCAATCTTAGAAAACGATCCTAAAGGGACTAATCGATATCTAAATAAAATAATTTATTCAAAATTACAATTACACAAGTTTAAAAAGAATAAAAGAAAAAGAAAGGAAACCTTACGTTTGAAATGTAAAATTAAGTTTATTTGCGATCGTAGAAAGTAACAGAGTTGTTTGACCCCAAGCGGCATTGATCTCACTCCAATCAACCTATATTATATATCAAGGAATATCTGCCAAATATTACTTATAGTCTCTTCAATTTCCGATCGATCATTCACCAGATTAAAAAAAAAGAATGACTTTACTATTACCTGTATATGAGGTAACCTGCCCAATCGAAATCCATTTATTGTTCCAAATTGATCATCTAAACCAATACAAAATGCATCATTATAAACATTGGTTTTTTGGAGCTTTTCCAATTGATTGGAATCATGAACAAATTTCAGATTGATGCTATCTCTTTCATTTAGAAATGTTTGTAGCTGAATATGAAAATCATTGAATTCTTGCCAATAACTAAGATTAAATATATAATAATTATTAAACCCATCTGTTCGTTATTTACGACAAGTAGAATTAATTAAAGTCAATGTATACCTTTCTTCAAGCTTATCAAGTTCATTTGCTTCTTCCTCTAATGCAGCCATCTCTTGTTTCAATGCATCCCTTTCGTACTCGATATTCTCTAATTTTTTAATTGCAGCCAATTCGTTAGACTTTATCTATAAATAAATAAATAAATACATGTTAAATAAACTTAACCTAATTTAATTCAAACAGTGGAAGATCTGCATCAAAAGTCTTGCCTCCTGAATTTCTTTTTGTAAGTTCTCCTTTTCGGTATCACTTATTACGTTCACATTAACTTTCTTATGAAAGTCTATATAACAATCTCTTTCTTTAGAAGCATCGGCCAAGCTTTTTTTCAAACTGTCTAGTAACATATCGGTACATTCATGACACATGGGATGTTCAATTTCCGATCTTGACGACATAACATCAAATAATCGATTTGCGATTTTAAGCCGATTACTCCAATCCGCTTTTTTTCTTTCTTCGGCTTTTCCATCAAGTGAATTTCGCTCTGGTAACGAATGATCGTTATGATGTGGTGCGACTTGTGAACGTGATAACATTACATATGATTCAGAAGGTGCTAAGAACGATTCTTTGTTACTAATGCTTCCATTAGGAGATCGCGAAAGTCCAGAAGGATTCTTTGGGGAAGAAACAGATCTTGAGTTTGACGCTGACAGTTCATTATTATCTTCAATATCATTAAAGGAAATTTGTTTAGAACTCGTCTTGATTCCGGTATTTCCGAGCCGGTGATCTGTATATCTTGAAGTTATACTCTCCTCCGGACTTGCTAAAATATTTTAAAAATGAATATTTATACATACAATTTGACGAATAAAGGATGGATCTATATTATATATTATACCTAACAAGATATCTACGGAATCTGCATCCAGATCCGCTAGCGTTTCATCAATTTTTAAGGGTTGTTTACAGCGTTGACAGGAAAAGGCATAAGTTTGCTCCATTTTTTTATGAAAAAAGTTGAAAAAAAAAAAAAAAAAAAAAATATAAAAATAATAATAATTAAAGGGTGACCTTTGCACCACGAATAAATAATCACAGATTACATAATTGCATAATGCAGTATATATATTGTTTATCAATAAATAAATAAACCTGTATAATATAATATATATATTTTTTTTTAATTTTTTTATTTTTTTTTTTTTATATTTTTTTTTTCTTTTAAAAAAAAAAAAAAAAAAAAAAAAAAAATCTTTTTTTTTAATAAATCGTTTTCATGAATTTTATGTCAAATGGTAATACAATTCTTTATTACTTTGTATCAAGTTTTTTTCGATCTTTAAATATTTACCCGATTTTATTTAACAGGCAAAAGTAATAATACAAATCATCGTTGTAGGAACGCAGATCGTAGGCAAAGCTTTTGTCGAAGCATATAAACAAGCCGTAGCAAGTAAGTGATCTTTAAAAATTACGTGTATCTTTTGATCCGTTAACTTTGTTAAATAATTTGACTGGTTTAGACGCGGCGGCCGGAGGTAGTGCCACGTCACGAATGGGAAAAGATTCCTTGTCAAGACGAACAGGAATGTCATTAGATGAAGCATATCAAATATTAAATCTTAAAAGGGACGTCTCAAATCTTTCAAAGGTATTTACACTTATAATCGCAAAAGAAAGATTTTTTTTTTTTCTAATAATTTTTCAATTTTATTTGTTCCAGAATTATGAGCATTTATTTAAAGTAAATGATGCAACGTCCGGCGGATCATTTTACTTACAATCAAAAGTAGTGAGAGCAAAAGAAAGGATTGATATGGAATTGACGGAGGCCAAGAAGGAGAGTCAAAATCCACAAGATATCAATGAACAATCATCATCACAATCAGCTTCTAGTAATAGTTGAAATTATATTTTTATAAAATTAATATTTATAAGTTTTATAATTTAATTAAAGATTATGTGAGTAAAAAAAAAAAGATGAACTGTGAGAGCATGCATTTTGCCTGTAAACTTAATAAAATATCAAATGTCAGTTAGGTTAGAGTACATATATTACATACGGAAAGAATGAAGATATACAAGGTATCAATTGTCATTATTTGACAATGGCTTGTGGTACATTTGGAATCCTTGCATGAACATTTGAAAAACATACAATAAATACAATGATACAAAGAATTGAACCAAGCCACTTGGTAAATGTTACACAAAATCAATAAAGTATAAATATGGTCTCCAGATTTTCTCTCTTCAAAATATTTTTTTCTTTATTCTATCAATCTTTATTTTAAAAATGAGTAATAACATAAATATACCAGCAGGTTTTCCCGACTCTTTACCTATTTCTTCGGAAAGGTTAAACTTTATAAATCGTTTTAAAACTGAAAGGTTAGGCAACATGCGTCCTTTCAATGAGTTTTTTGATAAAGATAAGCTTTCTAAACCAAAAGGCATGGGAGGTTTGTAACATTTTATTTACAAAGTTATCTTTTTTTAGCCTCCCCTCGAGAGAAAAACTATATTTAACATGAGAAACAAAATTTTTTAGATATTGCGCAGCGTCTTTCTTATAACTTGACATACTTTCAATCAAACTACATTATAATCGTTTTAGGCTTATTGATCTATTGCCTGTAAATATTATTTTCACAATTTTTTTAATATCTATTAAAATGATGAAAAGTTCTAAAATCTGATTTATTTTATATAAATTATAGGGTCTCAAACCCTCTCCTCCTTTTGACCATCGTTTTCCTCATTGTAGGATTAAATTTCATTCGTAAATTAGAGGAGCCACTTGTTTTTCAACAGTATGTTTTAACTCCAAAACAATTATATACTGGACTTATTGCGGTTTCTATTCCTCTTTTATTTATTTCATCCGCTGGTTCAACTATATTTTGGATCGTTGGGGCTTCTGCAACAATGGTCTTGGGTCATGCTTCATTTCTTGAATCGGGTGTCGATAGCGGTTTTACATCTGCCGCAAATCAAGTGTAAAAAAAAAAAGATCCATCATTGTTTACCGCTTTTTGCATTATATAAATTTCGCTTTTGTGTATTTTTTTCTTGATATTTATTATATAGAATATTTGGTACTGTAATGTTATTTAAAATGTATTTTTTTTTAAAAATTAAAATTCGTTATAGAAATATAATTATTCCCTCATAATAAATTCGGAATTGCCGAATGTCACGTGACATAACTTAAAAATTGCATCAATAATCATTTTTTTTTTTTTTTCAAATTTTTTGTTTTTTTTAAAAAAAAAAATCAGCTTATTTTGTAGTAATGCAAGCTTTTATACGACAAATTTATTTATTAGACGGAAGTTCAAAAGTATTATTGAATTTTCGGAGGAAATTAATTAAAAGAAGTTTTACTAGTACAAATATTGTTAGAGCGGCCCAAGAAGAAAGTGGTATTTCAACAGAAATAGGTAAATCTGTACAGCCAACAAGAAAACCTATCGGCGGGTTCCGTGGAGGGTAAGTTTTTTTTTTTTATCTAATCTACGTAATTTAATGTTTTCTTATTTCTTTAAATTTATTTCATTCCTTTTTATAGTCTAATTGGATTTTTAGTGGGTTTAACGATTGCAGGAGGGGCAGGATATTATTATCTTTTAGATGAATATCATGTAGCATCTAATATTTTATTAAGTTCTGTTGAAGAACTTCAAAAATCCACAAACAAGGTAGGTTGTGTAAATTATATTGGATTTTATATATACAGATCTCATATATACTGTACATATTATATATTATATACATACATCCGTAGGTTCGTGATTATACTCAAAAAATTGATAGAATTGAATCGGAATTGAAAGCCCTTCAAAATAATGCCGCTACAACAGATCAGATTAAAGAATTAAGGGCCGAAAATCGAAAATTATATGTAATTATCTCACTATCAAGTATCCTCATGCTTTCTTTATAAAAAAAAAGCGATTTGTTAATTAATTAATTAATTTACAGGATGGGCTTAATTTACAACATTTTGAATTAAAGGGTTACGTATTTGGTATAGGTGAGTGATATATATATTAACTCCCTTATTTTTTTTCAAAAATAGTTTACTTATTTTTTTTATTTTCCTTTTCTTTGCGATGAAAGAACAAGATCTTCAAACCGTTTTGAAAAAAATTCAATAATAATAATGATAATAAAAAAAAAAAATTTTTTTCATAGATGGATATTATAATTATTTTATCATATTGAAAACAACAGATATAATAATTAATAATTTTAAATTCTATTTTATATATATATATATAACTGCATTTTATTGGACACGAGATTATCACTAGAAGTTACATCAAATTACGGGAAAGAGATATTGCAACAACATTGCAATTCAATTATAATTGCTGAATTGAGTTGATTCATTAAGTCTCCATGTTTTTCTTGTAAACCAAGTTGTTTCCTTTCACATACAACCTCCCTCCAAGTCCTAGGTATCCAATTTCTTCCAACGTCTGAATGATATGAGGTAATATAAACGCCCTAAAATCTGATAGAATCTGCGAAAAATAACATCCCACAATATATACCTCTATTAAATGAAAAAAAAATAAGATAAAAATTTATTCAACCTTTTTTTTTTTAAAAAAAAAAATAAGATAATAATTAATAATAATAATAATAAAAGATAATCAAATTTTACCATAAGATTCTTCATAACCTATATTACTCCAAAGTTGATTCATGATATCGACAGTTAATACGGATAAAATAAATTCTTTGGCTTCATGCATATTTTCTTTAAAGAAATGTGCACAAGTATCAAGGAATATCCAAGCAATTTCAATATTATGTAATCGCAATGCATAACTTGGTAGTTCTTCAGGATCATTTTGTTTAAGTTGAAACACTCTTTGATCAGTTATTGTAGGTGGTGACTTTAACCGACAAAAATCATTATCAACGTCCCTATGAACTCTAATATCTTCAAATTGTAATTGAATATTTCTTGACATTTTTGAAAAGTTTTGAACGCGAAATCGTGTTACATTCTTTGTCCGACAATCACGCGTACATTCTTTTCGGATAGATATAGCCACATATGCCTAGCACGTGATTTCTTTTTTCCAAGATTAATATTACAAATCTTATAAATAATAGAATTATAAAACAAGAGTTTATGCAAAAAATTCTTGTAAACTAATCAATTATAATAGTCATTGGGTGATATTAAACAACATTAACGTTTTACAAGGATATCAAAGATTGCAGGATTTAGCAAAATTATTAATATTAAAGTAAATATAAAAAAAAAAAAGAGATTTTATATTTCTATTTATCATTTGCTAACTTTTCACCAATTCCTGCTATTGTTTCGGATAAATAAACTAGGAAAACGGAAACCGTTTGAAGTCCGTCGCATCATACAAGAAAATTATATATATATTTTTTTTAAAAAAATTAATGCTTAACTGGGCTTTAAGAGCTCTAAGAGAATGTTATAACGGATATAGTAATAATACACAAGTTTCATTTCAAAAACTATTGTATTATTATAACATTTAGTTATAAGAATTTTAATAAAATTAAATTTCGCCACTGTAGATCGTTTTACATGTAAATCGGAATCATGTGATATTAAAATTCGCGCGATATCATTTTTTGCTTGCACGTTAAATCGCGACCATTTTTTGCATACATTTTCAATCGTTGTTTTATACTTATTACTACTGCAACTTATTAATAAATTTCACAATGTCTAATTACAATATGGTAAGAAGATGTGATAACGCTTATTGCTTATTGCATTTTTTTTTTCTATTAATAAAATAATAATGTACTTCATGCATGTAATTTCAAATGCGTCATCGGGGTAAGAAGCGGAAAGTTGTCAAAGAAAATTATGAGGAACATGAGACACGTTTGTCACGTGATAGGGCTAATAAGAGGCGGAAGGCAGCTGAGGAAACTTTTGAGGAATACGAGACATGTTTGTCACGTGATAGGAATAGGAAGTGTGAGGCGCAGCAGAAAGTTGAAGAAACTCATGAGGAACTTGAGGCGCGTTTAGTGGCTGAAGAGGAGACACGTCGTGCTTGTACGCATGAAAAATATCAACTAAGAAAAGCCAGAGAAACTCCCAAACAACGTGTTGCAAGAATCACTTGGTCTAAATCAAATGTACGTCAAAAACGTGCTTTGAAAAGTGTTTCACCTTCTGATCAGAATCTTCTACGCAAATTTCGTGATGCAATTAATAAGCTCAAAAATAATCTCTGTAACACGTGCAATAAGCGATTTCCAACTATTTCACTTGTTGGAGAAGAATGTTGTCGATGCTATAGTGAAAAGAGCAATCCTAAAAGATTCTCTGCTGGAAATAATATGGATCCAGGTAAGTCAACTAAATCAACTAAATAATATTCGATTTTTCTTAAAATAAAGGATTCACATTTTCTAGATGAAGTTCCACAAGAACTTCAGAAGTTAACAGATATAGAAAAGATGCTGATCTCGTAAATATTTCCTGTTATATCAGTGTACAAACTTCTTGGAAGATAATATGCATATCGAGGAAATGTCATTAATTTTCCACAAAATGTTAAGGAATTTGTAACGCACCTTCCACGTGATCCATCATCGTTAAATTTGCTTATTATTCGACGTTATACTGAAAATGGATCCAATTTTTGTGACTTTCAAGTTCATCGGAAAAAATAATGCGTGCTCTCCAGTGGTTGAAAGCTAACAATATATTCTATCATGATATTGATATTGATGATAATATATTGCAAGTATTGCCAAAAAAATGACTCAATTGCAGGCCAACTTCTACAGTTCATTGATAATGAAGAAAATTCAAGTGAAAACCGTATAGATTGGATTAAGGATGATAACGAAAGTGATGAAAACTACTTTTCACAAACATTTGTTCCTTCGTTACCTACAAAATATAATGAGAACAGTGCAATTAATAAAATTCTTAATTGAATGAATGAAAATCTAACAATTGATTAGCTATGTAATAAAGTTCTTCCCGTTGATGAATTTTATACTTCTGAATATATGGTATGAGCATTTCCTACACTTTATCCTTGGGGTAATTCGGATTTCAATGATTGCTGAGTAAAAGAAGTAAAACTAGCAGAATACTTTAGACATCTATTAGTTTACAAAGATGGCCAGTTTGCTCATCATTCGCAATAGTGTTATTTTGCGTTAAATACATTTATGAAATGGAGAGCATTATCAGAAGATCGTGTGTTTGTCAAACAGCATTTAGAAAAAGGGCAACTTACCGTGGCTGAAATCTTAGATTTAATAGAAAGTGATGCTCATATAGTAGACAAAGTATTGCAGTATGGTGAAGAATTACGTGATACTTGTCAATATTGGATATGCCGTAGAGCTGAGTTAACAGATATAGTAAAACAAATAAGATCTCAAGGAATAATATTTTTCACGTTTAGTGCAGCTGATATGCACTGGCTAGATTTACATAATCTCATACCTAATGGAGAAAATCCTATAGAGGGGAGACAACTCAGGAGGCTGCTAGACGTCAACGTAAAGACCTTATCGATAATTTTCATATTGCGTTATGGTTTTTTGAAAAGCGGTTAAAATTTTTTTTGAAAAAGTCTTAATTCCTAAATGGGGTTTAATTGATTACTAGTATCGATTTGAGTGGCAGCATTGAGGTAGTGTTTATGTTCACGGTATTGCCAAGCAAAGAAAAGCACCTAAAATTGATTGGAAAAAAATAGTTAATAATAATGAAGAAATGGAGAAAGTAATACGATACTTAGATTCTTTAGTTACAACAATTAATTCTGATCTAAATGCACCCCTTCCTGATAATCATCTATGCCAAAAACCCCTTGAGAATCTTAATGATGATATTCAAGACTACAATAAACTGATAAATAAATTACAGCGTCATATACGCTGTAGTTCCTACTGTTTATGGACAGATAAATGAACTGGAAAACAGACCTGCAGATTTGGGTTTCCTAAGGAATTAACAGATAAAACCACCATTCAAAATAATAATGGTCATCTAGAGTTAACAATGGCCAGAAATGATCCACTTATAAATTCACACAATCGGATTCAACTTCAAGGATGGAAAGCAAACGTAGATATAAACCCCATCCTTACAACTCATACTGCTTTACAGTATGTTTCAAAATATGCTAGTAAAGCTGAGCCACGATCTTTGGCTCTTTCAGAAGTACTAGATAAAGCTCTTCGTGATGATAAACCTAATGATCCAGAAATTAAAGTATTACAAAAGCTACTTATTCACATAGTAGGAGAGTGTGATTTTTCAGCTTAAGAAACTTGCCATCTTTTTCTTCAAACACTACTTTATCATAGCAGCTGAAACTTTGTTAGTTTAAATCTTAACAAAATGACAAATCGTTGTCTTCGTGATAAAAATAGCGAAGACAATGGAATTAAAAAAACAGATCTTTTACCTCTGCAAAAATATTGTAATCGACCTACTGAACTTAACAAATTTTCATTGTTTAGATTATACCTGCAATATAAATTGGTCAAAGGTAATTGGATACAATGTGATAAAGAAAACATTGTACGCGTTTGGTTGTGTTCATCTCTAATTCGAAATGGTCCTCAATGGGAAGAATTTTGTCATATAAAGGTTCTTCTACACATTTGCTATAAAGATCTATTTGGCTTTACAGAGAATTACGCTCTTTCATGAATAGATTTATATAATAAGTATCTTTCAGAAATCAATACTGATCTTACTGATTTAATTAGACCTGCCATAGATAATCTTGAAGAAGTTGATGATAATGATTCTGATGATCAAGAAGGAGACACTGCACAAGAAATATATGAATCTCGACCTAATTGGATAGTATTATCAGAAATGATGCCAAATAGACAAGAACATGATCATAATTTAGCTGACTTTGGTACCTGAGATATTGATAGAGATCATGATTGGATTAATGAAAGTCAATTACGGTATCCTGAAATAGAAGAAGCAGAAAGCTTTATTCAGCAGGAAATTAGTTATAATAATGCAGTTCAAGCTAAAAATAATTTAGAAAATATTGACCCCGAAACTCTAAATGAAAAACAAAAGTTAGCAATTGAGAGAATAGAATCATACTATATTGCTACAATCTCAAATCAATCTGTAGAACCTTTGAAAATTATTATTATAGGTACTGCTGGAACTGGCAAATCTTATCTCATTAATGCCATCCAGAGAAGATTACATGAGATCACTATTGTACTTACTCCAACAGATGTTGCAGCATTTAATATTCAAGGGAATACTATCCACTCAGCACTCTTAATTCTAATATCCAATACAAATTTTAAACTTGAAGGTGAATCTTTAAAAAAGCTCCAAAGAAAATTAAAAGATATATAATATGTAATCATTAATGAAATGAGTATGGTAGGATGTCGTTTTCTTGCTCTAGTTGATTTATGACTGTGTCAAACATTTTCAGATTATTCCAATATTCCCTTTAGTGGCCAATCTATAATCCTCTTTGGTGACTTCAGACAGCTTCCTCCAGTGTGTGATCTTTTCATGTATTTCCAGGATTCTCATCTATCAAATCCTTTATCTGAGAATAGACGCAATGTTTATAGCCAATTCTGAGAAGTCTATAAACTTGAGGCTATGTAATGGTAAAATAGAACTTCAGAAAAATAATGTCAGTTTAGAAATCTCTTATCTCACTTGCATAACGGAGAATCTACATTATCTGATTGGGAATTGTTAATAACGCAAATTCCAGAAAAACTGCTTGAATCAGAAAAAGAAAGTTTTTTGAATTCAATCAATATTCATATGACATGGGAAGAAGTTGACAAAATTAATTTAGATAAACTTAAATCAATAAACCAGCCTGTCACTAGGATTCAAGGTGTTCATACGAGTAAGTCTGAAGCTTTGAAGGCTGATTCAGAAACAACAAAAGGTCTTGAATATAAATTGTTATTAGCAAGAAACGCACGTGTTATG